TTCACCTTCATTTGTTTGGTAGAAAAAAAAGTAATGGAAACAAAAGAAATGGAATATTGTATATGTAGTAAAAATAGCCCTATCGAATTGTTTCAGGTGAAGTGGGGTAATTTTCAATTCACCAATTTTTTTCAATACAATTGGAGTTACATGGTAATCTGTCTTCATTTTTGTTGGTTTTGTTTTGTTTTCTTATTTGTTTTGTTTATTACTGTATTTACTGTATTTATTAAAGTCCTGTAATTTTTTTTGTTATGGGAAAAAAAAAAAAAAAAAAAAAAAAAAAAAAAAGAAACTGAAAAAATACTTGCTGAGAGATTTTGTGTTATTATTATTACTAAAGTGTGGGACTGTGAACAGCATTTTATTTTTAGGAACATGGTTTGCATAGAATATGATGATGATCAGTGGATGATGCTGCTGTATATATTTGAAAATATATTCTTGTTTGTATTTTCATGAATAGTATCACCCACTGGTCAACTCAATCTTCGTACATACCTGTGTAAATAAAGTCTAACAATACTTTAAATATACTGCTGTGGATTTCGTGGATGTCCACTTCAGACTTGCTCGTTTCGCTGAGACCACCAGAAAACATGACGTTGAAGTACGGGCTGCATGCAGACATAACAACTCGATGACAGTGATATACGTCCTTGCCGACGATAAACTGAACGTCACAGAATTCGTGCCGACCGCGGAGCTTGCACAGTTGAGAAAGTAACGCGCTAGCATGATTCTTTGAAGAGAATTGTAAACGATCGTTGACGATGATGGGAGTTGTCTGATTTGGGAGATCAGTGGTCATGTTGGTTTTTAAGGAGAGTTCCTCGCCGTATATTATACGATTCAAACTATATTTCTGTCCATCTAAAACATAATGTGTAATTGAAACAAGGCCACATTATCACAGAAGTGCTGCATTCACAAATATACCGTGAATAAACGTCAAATCAAAGTGAGAAAAATACGGTACTTGTGGCAGTCGCCATTTTGTATGTTGGTGTATTAATCAAAACGAGGCTAAGGGATTTCCGCGTCACAGCTGTCAAAGTCATTTAAGTTTATTATGCAGTTCAAGTTGACACACAGACAAGCCACAATTAATTAATAAATGGATCATTGATTGATTGAATATGCGTTTGTTTATTTAAAGTTTGTTGACGTTGCCAAATACATATTTCTCAAAAGAGCACTGTGTTGTATTTGTTGAGTTAAAGAGCAAACCATTATATTTTACTTCTCATGACGTTTCAAGTCCCTATAACGCGATCTATTATCTTCAGCATAACAGACGACAGACTCTCTCTCAAAACATCACAGTGAGGGTTGTCAAACGTCGACGGCTGTACAAATTGAACCAAACCACGCAATTGCATCCTTTGCATTCGATGTTTCAATGATCCAAGAATCAAATCTAGACTAGTGTCTTCCTCGGGTAGACCGAATCAGTGACCGTGGTTGGACAAAAGACGCGTCTGTGTACAGTGGCGCGCGATACATTTAAATTTAAATATTGGTCCACTTATACTGTAAATTAGAGTTGACGACTATACAATTTATTTAAAACGCTTAAAACTATTCGAAAGAAATTAAAATAATAATAAACATATTTTTATTACAAAAGTAATAAACAAATAAAATTAAAAAAATCAGTTTATAGCCAAAATAATTAAAGCCCGATTTTAATCAGATTGCACTGTAATTAGCAAAGACAACATAATTTGGAAATTAATTTGGATGGAGGTGCTGTCTTTGAAGGGTATTGTTTTTAATGAATTTTGCCAATGATATATATATATATATTATAGTGTTTTTGCTTTTCATTAAAATTAGAAACTTTTTACTATTGTTTAAGTTAAGAAAATTATTCAAATGTTGATTTACTTCAAGTTATTCTAGTAAAACTTCCGCTATAAAATATAAAGTGAACGTGACGTTAGGAAGTGTTCTCGCACGTACTTAACATATTTTTTTCCTCTAGAGTCGTAGGTCCGGTATGTCTTCCTTTTTCAATTTTCAATAATGGATTAGTGAGGCATTCACGAAGTTCTACATTTGACAATGCAGGTACTATAAATAGTAACGGGTCTAGTTTTGTATGCTCTGTATGTACTTCACGAATAGACCACATTGGCCAGTACGTTCAAATCGAGGCAATTTAGGTTTAATATAGTTCTGGTCAAAATTCACTACTGCAAAACATTTTTATTCTTATATAAAACAGTACATTTACATGTTAAGTCGGACCACATACTATATAGAATACATGGTTATAAAGCCGGCAAGTATGAAATAATAGTCTGCCACCATTACAGCAACGTACTAGTAATAAAATAGTACTTTTGAAATGAAAATAACCCCATTTCCGCAGTCGGTGTTTGTTACCGTTGCGTGACCATCATAACAAAGCCTTGATAACCTTCAAGACCCGTGATTGGAGATAACCTGTCACACGTAACCCCACAACACTCCGCACGGTTACAGAGTCTGCGCAGGTGCGTATCGAGTGCAGGTAATTTTCAACTAACTAGTTCACCGTTCCTGCATTTTTACCACACTGCTGGATCGATATGAACCACATATAAAACGCACATTGTGGGAACTCAAGACCGTTTCCAAAGTATCAAATTTAACAATAAGTCAGTTTTTTACGAGGCATTGTCGGCCGAGTCGTCAGATCGATCTACGTAATCCGGAATCATATACATTTTATTGCGAAATAGCAATACCAAGGAGGAAGTGCGTTTTAGCAAAATAAGGAAGTAAGCGTCAAAAAATACTTGGAGCACGGAAAATTTGGTTTCGTGACATTTGACTGAGTCTCAGGTAAGTATCAGACAATGGCTGTTCTTTTATGACGATGTTACGTGAAACTGAGTTTGGTATATAAACGGTAAAAGTATTTTATTGGGCCATATCCCAATAGGTCAATAGGTCAATAAATACAGCATGCAACGCCCGTCAGTGAGTACAGAATGTGATGTAGTGGATAACCACATCGTATTTAATTATTTGTTTGTTTTGTTCGCTTATTTAAGTATTAATTCATCTGAGAATGTAAAACTATAGAAAAACCGTCCAGTGAACACGGCAAGTTAATGTGTACACATTTAATTAGGTATGAGAGCCATTAGAGTCTTTGTCCAAAACACAGCGTGGTACAATATAATCCCCTTATCTTATATATTATGATTGTTTCAAGTAATATCGCATTAAACCACACTTGACGTACAGTTTTAAACATGATAGGCCAACTTTACCTCAGATAGAGTTCAGACACGTATTATATTGGCCATCATTTAATTAAATGATTCAAATTTAATCTCTGTTGCAGGTAGATACCATCGAACACCGAGATAACTTAACAAACATGATAAATCACAACTTTTTTTAAACAAATAAACCAACGACATTCTGGACAATAACTCACTCCTACATAATGCTAGGTTGACATATTGTCCACGGTAACCAGACACAGCCAAAAAATGAACATTAATTGTTGTTTACAGGAAAAAAACACATGAAAGATTTTTGATTCACGATATTTGGGCATTTGTTTAGAGGTCTTGGTCGTCTTTGTTGGTTTCTTTAACATCTTTTGATGACCTTCTCATTCACCAGAATCATGTATATAATGAATGTATAGCTATAAGTATCTTAACCGGATAGACTAGAAATTGAGCAAATTTCCCTTATTTCACTGCACCCAGTATGAATGTTGAAAGTAGGACAATGCAACTATTACATAGATGCCAGTTTGTGGGCGTTCGCGTTTATATTCTAAGCTAGGCCACATATGAAGGTAGAATACAACAACAACAACAACAACAACACCACCATGTCTATTGCATGTAATATCAGTTGAATGCTCTAATTACATAATTGATCACTATAGAATTTCGATCGAAGTAAAAAATGGTCGTCGATGAATTAATGGGGCTGATCAGATTTTAGGATTAAAGACTTAAGATTTGAAGTTTGAGAAGCTATTATACAGAAGCAACGAACAATTGTTTATTAATGTATTTGATTTTTGTGGATTGTCATACCTAACCGAATAACAAAATGATGAATTCTGTTAGCTAACATTTTGTAAACCTCAGAGAATGATAGCAACTATAAGAATTATTTTGTATGCCAATATTAATATGTTTATCATCTAATTTGCATATAATTTACTGATTTTCTAATCGGCTAAACTAATTTTAAAGAAATTGAGTACACAAGTAAATGCGACATCTGAAGTGGTCGATTTCATTTCATCGGATAATGTAGCGTAGCAATCAATTATCACCGTAACGTTTGTTTGTTGATTTAGTCATAGTCTTGTGTTGTGTGTCTATTTCCGTAATAATACCCGTAAATGTTATAACATTACGTCATAATAAATAAATGCATTTCCCATATTATTATGTAACTGAATGTATTATCAGCGATCTTCATTGTATTCAATCTTTGTATTGTACAATTTGTTTTTCTCTGTTTAAATTCTGACAAGAACATAGATATGGAACCAAAACCGAATCCAAGATTGGAGAGTAGTGACCAGTTTCTGTGAAACGTTGTTTTGCTAAGTGTTTTTGGAATAGATATTGAAACCCATTTGTGGAATATTTTGCCAAAAATATTTTATCATGAGAAATACATAGCATAAATTGGTAGTCCACTAAATTCTTATATAACTATCAGGTCACTGTTTTAACATTTACATTGAAGGGATTTTACAAAATTTGTGCTGAACGTATTAAATTATCCCCACCCAGACACAAAGCAGAACATTATCAATACTTTGATTTGTGCTTGAGAGAGGGCGATGTCGAGAAGCTAGTCACTGAGACTAACTATATCTTGTCACTCCTTCATTAATGGTTATAGCCAGTTCAAGGGTCGATGTGTATTGGTACAGACTGGAAGTGTCTGGTACTAAATCATGAATCATTTACGCCGAATAACAATAACAGTATGCAAAATACAATATGTAAACAATTTACTGCAATCTTTTGCTCTATCACGTTCACATGAGACAAGCGGGCTATAAACTAGCCGGCCGGCCAGAGTGAGGGATGACTGCAAAACCTATGAGATGTTAGGGAAAATATTATAATTTTCTTGAAAGTACAAAATATATTCAGCATATTTATACATAAATGATATATATACACCATTTAATTATTGCAAACAGTGCATGTGCTCTATTTGAAACGTAAAAAAACTGGGAAGATTTTCTTACAAACAACATAATTGTAGCAAGTATATAACAAGTAGTTTAGTATGGCAATATCCATATACATCGATTGACGTCATTTTTTGTCGAGTTTGAAGTATATATATTTGCCGCAATGTATCAACATGCTAATGACAACAAATTCTACTTCCGTGTTGGCTGAGTTTTATATTCAAACGAAGCAATATTAGTAATTGGTGAAAAACATTTTCCCTTTAAATATATTAATAATTTTCCTTGAATTTTGAATATTGTGACCGTAGACTAGGGAAATCACATTATATAATCTCCTTCTGCTTCCGTAATGGCCTCTGACTTTTTTAGGACTGTAATTGTGAACAAAGTTCTTCAGCCTTTCTTATTGCCCCGGCATGCGAACTTAAGGCGCTATAGATGAATGGATATGGCTATTTGATATGCTAACTTGTTCATTTGTGGCAGGTTATGTTGTTGTTCTGTATTATGGTCAACTGTTGGCTTTCTTCCAAATGCTTTGTTATTCTCAAACATTGTTTGCAGATATATAATGCACGAACGCCTGTAAGCGTTCATTGTTTGAACAAGAGGCGGTCGATACTACCCGGATACTATGGACCAGTGTGGGGGTGTTCGCTTAGAAAAATAACTGCTGGGATGGGAAAATGACCGAGATTACCTGAATTCAATAATTATTGTGTGTGATATTCAGATAACATATATCACGGATAAACACCCCTTCAAATTATCTAAATTTCCTACGCATGCTCAGAAGATATATATTGACATTTACTAATGTCACCCACACGTAGAGATACCAGATTCGAGCCAAATGAATACACATTAGTTCATTACAGATAGTCCAACGCGCGTTGTACCGTAACTGGTATCACGTTGAGATGTTTTCAACTCTGTGTACGAACAATTCTTCGTTAGTACAAGCAGGTCGTCACCCAGTAGAGTGCCAAAGTAGTGTGATTTCTCACGAATGACCATCTACTGACTGCGACTTCCAGCGTAGACTGGGACATATATATAGTCCACTGTACTTACTGTATGCCAATCCTGGGGCTGTCTGGCCAAAATGAAAATGCTATTATAATCGCCGTGCCACTTTCCGCACTCTCGTAGTATCATGTACTTGCCGTTAAAATGCAAAATTTAGTATGACAACATCAAGCCTCAATCACTGAAAGCAACATATATACATATAATTGTATATTGTGGCCTAGTACACATACAAAAGATGTCGGTAAAACCATGGAGCTCCATGATACAATCTACTTGAACTTTTGTGAACAATTTATGTAATTTATATCAGAACACTCAAGGAAGTGGAACAATTAATCTAAAAATAGGTCGAAATTGCCGACCCAGTGAATGAATATCGTAAATAAACAACAGTGTGGGCTTGTAGCGTTATTTTCTACGTCAATATTTCTCAATGAAACATGCATTTTGTCTGCTTTAGGGAGTGTGGGAAGATGTTACACAGTAGCAAATGGGTTGCATCACTTCCCTGTTTTACTCCAGCACATTCCTTGTAATGACTGTGTAGGATCTTATTTCGGTAACTGATACGTGTGGCACAAACGACTGCCACGACTACGACAAATTTACAACATCTGATTCGAAATCATCAATTTGTGCGCCCTGGATCATTTCTCTCAGATTGCAACTTCTCAGAAAATGTTTTCTTGGGGGCAACGATGCTACATGTTCTACTCCATAAATGCGACTGAAGTGCTTTAACAGTTTGAAGCGTTTAGCAATAAGCCCGTGACACCATAAACATGTATACCTTTGTTTGTTATTTTAATTAGAAATGATACTAGTATACACATGAATATAATTTGGCAATTAACAAATTTACGCTGCGTACCATTAGTCGGAGGGGTCACTCATATTCATGCAGATGGAATGCCATTCTCGTATATCATCCCTAAAGAATACCCCCATGTGGTTATCTCACAAATAGATAGAAATCATTATTTTAGAATAGTATTATTTGTATTTCGGGGTTTCAGATGACTTTTGGGAGTTTCTAAAGTTTAGGTCATGTTACATTTTAACATTTCACAATATTGTTGGTGATTTTATCCACAAACGGATCAAGTGATTTATAATATACATATACATATATTAATATATTAATTAAATTAACATTCTCTGGTTACAACATTACACCCGACGTTTGTAATTGACGTGACTATAACACTCACGTAAACACAATGATAAACGTTTTGAAAACCACATAATTCTTTCATGGCTTTAAAATCCGTATTATATAATTATTTTTTGTACATACAAAAAGTGTTCAATAAATTGGAGACGTCCTTTTGTACGAGCGCTTCACAATGTTAATGTTGACAGGATTTTGGATAGGCATATTAGTTTAAAAACGTATATACATTTTTGTATTATAAAAGTGCACATTACGCATAAGCTATGTGGTGTACAAAATGTACCAATAGGCATTCTCGTAACAGTATTACGTCCACGGTACGTGTGTTATAATACAAAAACATTGTGGCGCTGTTTATCAAATCAAAAACACGAGGTCTCTCTCTCTATTGTCTTGGATTAAATCATCGTATGATTTCACCTGTAGGTATGAGTGCCGTAGGTTTAGGAATCGTAGCTGCTTTTCTTACGATATTGATATTAATTACTATATTTTTGGTAGTGTTGTACATATACTTAATAAGGTAAGACTGATTTTTGTACTTCTTTTTAAAATTTGTATATGTTTTTTAAATGAAAATAGCAACCGAGGAGAGTCCCTATCTAGCATTTTCGGTGATCTTTGTTTTAATCATGTTTATTGTAACTGCTCGAACAAACGAAAGCGATTTATTCCCATGAATCAAAGCTAATCTGGAACATTATTTGAAAATTCATTGTTTATTTAATTCACGAAAGACACGTGTGTGAACCCAAAATAACATGTCATGTTTTGTTTGCCATTTTTCTTACCATTTCTCCAGTGGCGGATCCAGCAAAATGTATTGGGGGGGGGGGTCCAAGCTATGCTTAAGATATACGGACCGTAAATCGCAGAGAAGCTATGCGTAATCCAGATGATACGAATCGTCATGCGTTTTTTTTGGGGGGGGGACATGGCCCCCTGGCCCCCCCTCTGGATCCGCCACTGCATTTCTCTTATTCTGAATTAGTATTCTACAGAACAAGTTTTCTATTGTTATCGTGTTCACGTGTTAGCTCACAAGAATGTAAAAATTATCGTGTTTTGTATTGTAGATGTGAAACCATTTTTATTAAAAAAAATAACATTTTGGTGATTATTGCATTAATTTGAGACGGTGAAAGTCGCTGTAATTTATTTACGTGTTTAGAAAGAATCGTAATTGTAAGTACGACAAAAGTCATCGAAATCGACAGTAATTAAATTTGAAACGAGTTTTTTGTGAGTTTTGCGACGGAGATAATTTTAAGGTAATGTTTTGTTGCTGATACACATTTTGTTTCCTCGTCACGGTGATCACCACAATGTACTGCAGACGCGGGAAAATATGTAAGGCCACTTTTCTAGTTTTCTGGAGCTTTCTAAATTAAATTATGATTATTGTCGTTGGAAATGATGTCATACTGTTTCAAATATATAATACACCTTCGTTTTGAGCCAGGTTAAGGCTTACACGATGATATGTTCGTGTCGCAGTCTCGTCAGTGGAGTGTGAAGGTGTGTGTGTGTGTGTGTGTGTGTGTGTGGGTGGGGGGGGGGGTTACACACTGGCAAAACAAATAAGTATTTTCATAAAATCTTTGTTCTACAGATGTTCGAAAGTCATGCAAGAGTCATCCGGTTCATGTGAAACTGAGCAGCGAGAGTTGATGGGTCATGTATTTAAAGTCACGTGTGAAAGGACTAAAATATTGAAAGTTAAATTACGAGTCTCCAAAAGTTAGGTTAAATTGCAAATGAAAAAAAATCGCAACTATAAATAAATAATTCAAAAATGTAAAGTGGTATTTACATCTAAATGAAAATTAAAATATAAATCCTTTTTTAAAAAAACAACTTAAATTAATCTTCAAAACTACAGTTTTGTTAATATTCAATTATAACCAGTCTTGAAGAGTGGTTCTCCTCGGTTACTGTACAGCTATATATGAAACTGTGTTTATGATATTATTCAGTATGTAACAATGTGGATATATAGATAGACAAAGTCAAATAGATTATCCTAGAACGACTCGGAAAAATGTTTTCATGTTGATCAACCGAATTTACAAGATCATTACGTTGATTTCAGGACAAAGAAAACGTGGAGACAAGCTATGCCTAACTACCTGAAGGAAAAAGGTATTTATTTCATTTAATGTTTTAGATCCACGGAAATGTTTGTAGGTGATCTCTAAATCTCGCGAGATCGACGCTACCGATAGATAGATAGGTACGTAATTTGAGCGACATCAACGCCAACCTTTAAGAGTTTCTGAACAAAACAAAATAGTCAACTCTTTTTCACGCAGTTGAATTCATTTGAAGGTTTTCCAGTGTCTTGAACACTGGCGTTGTGTTCGGAAATCAGGGAATTTCGTTTCGCTTGGCTGATGTCACTTACACATAGAGATACCAGATTCGAAACAAATAAATACACATTAGTTCATTACATCCAGCTTTATTCGCATAAGCAGTCAATTGAGGTAACCCCTCGCTGTACCGTCCTCTCGATCTCCCTCCTTACCAACCTCCTTACTTAACCAAAGGTTACCAACTCTCTATATTAGAAGTCAAAACACTAAGGCAAGGCGGAGTAAACATGCGATCAGCCAATCGCTCCAGTCGTTCGCACGATCACGTGATTACCAGGGATGTGTCTCATGGCTTGCAAAGTTGCCACTACTAAATACATAACACCAGCATGCAAAGGCAATTTTTTAAAGCCAGAAGCAGTTCAAGATCATGATTTACACGACTATTATCAATAGGTGATTTAGTATTATCATTGACTCCGCCGTCAGCATCAGTACGCCGTTCGCGCCCTCTATCGACGAAGTAGTTCTATGACGTAGATGGGTGACGGAGGATTGTCCACGTACATTATACCTTGAAATTTAGAGCCACTGATTTGTTTTGATATATTCTGAACGGCACACACGTCAAACCAAAGTCCTATAACAAGTAAAATCGATTTCACATACGTCATGTCTACGCCACACAAAGCGCAAATTTTATGATTTTCACATAACAAATGTGTGCTTATTCGACAGGTTTAATTAAACACGGCAATTCTGGTAGAAATGATGTTATTGATAATTCTCAAACTAATATGATGACGACGATCATTCCAGACAATGTTCCAGTTCTTCCCACTCCGACACCGAGAGAGCGCCCCGTGCCGCCGCCTAAGCCAAAACATCAGCCAATCCAAGTGGCGAATTTAGCAGATTACATAACACGTAAAAAGGCCGCAGGTAGAGGTCACAACCTGGAGGCAGAATTTATGGTAAATGTCAATATTGCTATTTGGAGGACGTAAGAGGCGAGGGTCAAAATACAACAAGAGCTGTGCATATACTGTACATTGACCTTGAAGTTATTTATCACACATTCTATTACCCCTATATATTCTATAATGTATGCTAAACAAAAAAAAACACGTAATGGTGCATGCATACTATTCAGTTCTTGCTGTATAATTTTAAACAATTCATTCAATTTTTTAAAGGGACATAAACACTTTATATAAACTTAAAACCGCGGTAGTCGTCGCGCAGCGCGTGTTCGAATTCCATGTAAATAAACAATGTATTTTACAAGCGTCAATATGAGTCCCATATCGAATGCTTTCACACTTTGCACAAACGTAAAGTACCAATCAATCCCTGAGCAATGTACACACCATAACATGTTGAGATTGTTGTAATGAAAACTTCCGATACTCTCAAAAGAAGATGTGCGTGTAAATTACATTTTTTTTATTTACACAGAAAAGGAACATGTTATGCGCGCGACGACCACCGCTTTTTAAATGAGAGTATGTCACACTCATAATGATCTTTTATTTTTATCTCGTCAAAATTCAACCATTAGGAACTCAAAGAAGGGCAGAATGGAGAATGGAAAGTTGGCGGCAAAAACGTAAATCGTCCAAAAAATAAGTTCACTAACATAGCGGCATGTAAGTAAATTAGAAAGACCTCCCTAAATCCTATTGTTTTGAAAGCATCCATAGTTTACCTGATCTCTGCATGGATGCTTCAAATGTCCGTACTCTTGTCTACGTATATATAAAAACTACCATCTCCATCACCACGTCAACACAAAGTGGCATAAATACTCAATAAAAAATGCCGTGTTCAACTACATAGCACTCGCCTCTACTATTATTTCAACTACGTTAGTAGATTCATTGATTCAAAATGCTGTTTCCATGACAAAACAATCTACATTCTTACCATCATTTAATGACTTGGTACTTGCATCAGGGCAGCCACATCATGACAATGTTGGTTTATTATGTACAACCATGGAACTATAGACTCCTGGCACAATTAAATAGCGTTATTTTATATGTTACATGACGTATTTTTGAGAAACTATTATTTTCAGAACAATTCCATGAAACAAAATTGTATTTTTGGTAAATCTTTTTAAAACCTGGAATTTTAAAATAATTCAGGACAACAAAATTCCCCCATCAATAACAATGTATTTTTTCCCAGCAAATGTCACCAGCCAACAATTTGAGATATGGCATATTATCTCTGCTATAGGAACCTATGATAAAAACGTTATAATACTGCCAAAATGGCAACTATCCACTAAAATACAACTAGCATTTTTTTGAAAATTGGACTGGTTACCCTCAACTCAGGCTGGAGTACAATTTGTTGCAAACTGAACAAATTCTGGATATTTTTATTACTAAAAGAATAAATATATGACAGCATTGGTGTTTAAATATTATACCAGGCGACTATTCTCGACACTGAAAGTCACTGTTGTTTCTCCTCACTTTTATGTGTGCAAAGTACATGTGTCGGCCGGCGGAACATATGGTGCATTTATCCTTAGACATCACGTTCCATATTTGGCATTGATATCTATTCACTACTACCGTTTAGTATTATCATAATGGTGTTATGGCAATTTTACGATTAGTGGTTCAGTGTAGAAGTGTTAATATATATTTAATTTATTTTCATAGACGACCATTCTCGTGTAGTGTTGGATATCACGGACGGCGACGAGAACTCAGACTACATAAATGCGTCCTATATTAAAGTAAGTTTTTCACCTTTAACGGTGCTTACATGTTTTTCGGGCGCACTGTAAATTGTTTTCATCATATATATTGTCATTAATAGACTAGAAATATTGACCCCAACAACGTTTTCATAATCTTGTTTTGTCCAATTTCAGGGCTACAAGAATACAACATACATCGCCACACAAGGTGTGTAGCAACAAAACGCCACGTAACAAAACATACTGAAACGTAACGTAATATGAGACGACGTAACATAACATTATTTATTTACTTTATTCAAATCATATCATTGCATCTCATATTATTTTATTGAATCAAAACCTCAAAAATATGCAAACTTTAGAAAGTCATAAGTGTGAGAGTTAGCTGAAAAATCTGGTAACCTTTCAGCCAAACTTCGTTTAAGATGTATCAATGAGTTTTCGTAGCATGAGGTAAAACC